GCGCGGCGGGCTGGGCCCCGCTCGGGGTGGGCGGGTGCGCCCCGGCCTCCGCGCCCGCTGCCTTCCTGCCTCGGCCTACCCTGAAGCTCTGCCCCGCTGCGCCGGGGCTGCCTCGTCCTGGGGCGTTCCGGACGCCGCCTGAGGTGGCCGGAGCATCCCGTGGTGGGTGCCTGATACATAGTTTTATCCTTCTCTTTCTCACCATTTTCAGTGTCTTCAAACGACCGAAGTTTAGGGCTTGTAAGACCCTGAAACTTCTACATTTTTATTAACGTTAACAAGGAGAAACTTTAGTTTTCGCACAACGGATAATAGCGTATAGTTCTTGGCCGCGCTGTTCTCAGAAATCTTAAGTGATTTGCTTGAATTGACATATTCCATTTTGCACAAATACAGGAAGGACATACGGGTAGTGCCAAAGAAAGTGAAGCGTGGAGCAATTAAGAAACCGGCTTAGTGTCTCCTGCCTTGTATAACTGATGACACTGCAGTGCGCACACCTGGCCTGACGCCAGAGCTCTGGCAGCATTACTTCTGCTTGGTAGATTGCCTTAGTCAGGTTTTCAGAGTCGACTGCTTTCCAACTTAATTGTATCCAGTAGGATTTCTGATACTTACCTTCCAAGAAAATAAGACGACTATTGGGTAGTCCTTATAAAGGTAATAGAGTGGCATCAATTAGCACTTAACAAAAATTGGCCTCAGTTGTGTAGCCCACCATGACTCCACTATGCTTAAAAATCATACGGTTGGAGCATTTGTTCCTTTTTTTTATAGTATACTCAATTGTTTAGTAGAAGACAATGTTAGCATTCGTAATACACAACACTTAAGCTCAATACATTTATTTTTGAGTATGAAATTCATAATAGGATTTTTAAAAAAATATGTTTAGGCTTCTCAATTGAGTCTTTGAAGTTGGCTCATAATCTAACGTGGAGCTATGTGGTAGAAAACTGACATAGACAGGATTTTATTCTTACGCTGAAACTACAGGTAGCGTTTCTTATATAAGACATGTTAAGCATTTAATCAACATTGTATATCTAATATCACCACTCTTGAGGAAACAGGCTCAGAGAGTTTAAAAAAAAAAAAAAAGCCCACCAATAGCCTGTAAGATCAGAATGGTCTTTCTGAGTCCAGACCCAAACTTTACTTACATTTAACAAAATGGCTGATATGTGACTGTTGGTCAGTAAAACCTTATTGAATGAATCAATGCACATTTAAAATAAGTAGTCGGAGCTACTTATAAAGGATTTATATAAATACTTGATAATATATTTGATTCTGTTCAGTTTTCATCAGCTTTTGTAGTGTCCTCATTGTCACTTTATATTTTAAGTAGCGGTATGCTGGAAAGTTACTAGTGGCTGCGGTTGTAGCTCAGCATCAAACTCCTGCAAGCATAAGATCCTGAGTTCAGTTCCCAGTACCAAAAAAAAAGTTATTAGTTACATAGTGGAAAAAGTTCTCATTAAAGTTAAAAGGAAAAATGAAGAAAATAACACACAGGACTTTCAGGAGACTGGGTTTGTTAGCACTGAGTAACTCACCATTTATTGATCTCCCAGAATATTTTTTTCTTCTTACAGAATTCTGAATGGGCCAAACCAAGTTATTTAAGAAAGTTTCCATTTAGAATGAGAATTAAGATTTCTCTGTGTTCTCTGCTTGTTTTTTTTTTTTTTTTT